GGATTGGCAGCTGAATTTTACCACAATGATATGAGCAGTCCACTTTGGATAAGAATACCTTTTGGGAAGCAAGGCTATGCGAGATTTATTGAAAGCGTAAGGTCTACTCATACCATTGATGGAAAATTCAACTACTAATCCCCTTTTCATCTTAATCGAAATAGAGTGAATACACCTCATTTAAATGATCTGCTGGTAGTCTCTTAAACCTATTTATGAATGGAACATTATCACTTATAAATTTCGTTTCTCTGCTACAAATTTTTGCACATCATAGCATTTAGGCGTGTATTTTATGAACAAGATTAACTGCGGGCTTTTTTTGCCATGCCCTTATACAACATCCAGCATAATTAGAATTGCTCATTGTTTTACTTTTATTCAAATTGGCCCGTCGGATACTATTTGAGTTGGCTAGCAATGGTATCTGAAATTTCTTAAATTATCTCAAATGGGTACTTACTTTCTGATCGGCTGGAAGGTTCTGAAAATGTATCCATTAGTACGAATGTTATTTTAAATTGTTTATGGTGCTTATAGCAACAACACATTTGGTATTTTTGACGCATGTCTTGTCGAGTTATTGGAAACGTTTATAACTTATGAAGTTTAGGGAGGTGCCTTGTTTTATAGCTAATTACAACCCAATTTTAATTAGGTTACTCAAGGTAATGTAACCTTGGTTTCACATGACGAAATTATTATATTGCCTCCACATGTGCTAAGCTTTGATGAATTGAATTCGTTTGGACTTGTTTTCGCAACTTGATCGCATTGGTAGAAAGACTTAGAGGAACTCATCTAATCAGGAGTCCATTTTATGCACGATAATTTCCAAAGTGGGACCGTGGACGTGGTTTAATAAATTGAATTGGGGTTTGGTAAATTTATTTAAAAATGTTTTTGACTGGCTGTCATACAGGCCCAGGCAAATGGATAGCTCTAAGAAGACTTCTTTGCTCAACTTCCCAATTGACCTAGTCAGGGGACTCTCCTTTCGGTTTCTGGTGCGGCCAATTTACTCAGCCCTTTCACTATTCTTTTTTTCCACACGAAATAAAACTTCCAGTTTTT